CCTCCTCCATGTCACGGTGGTTATAGTCTGCAGGGCTCATGGGCTAACAGCACAGCTTGTCCTCCATAGCTGTTGTGTTGTCGTCCCCATAGACATATATAGAATAGACGCCGCATTGGTTGCTCGGGCACGAAAAATACGGCCGCCATCTTGGACCGGTCATCCTACAGCGCGATGCCTGAGCACTGTGCGGCGTATGGCTGTCAAAATAGGCGGACTATTCAAAACAGGGCTCGTGGGATTACTTTTCACAAGTAAGATTTAACATTATTATTGGTTGTACTAGTTTGTTAATGGAATATTACTGAATTGTATTTATGTCACCAACGAAATCAGATACAGAACATCTATTGAATAGCAAACAAGCTAACTTACAGCAGCTTTGGTTCATTATCAAAATGCGAGTTTTGTTGAAGAGATGTTCTATATTTGAAGGAGGAAAATGGGAAGAAGTAATTAGGAATAATAGGAATTATGGTAATATATATATATATATATATATTTGTTGTTTTATTCATGTATTTGCATTTTGAAGGTTTCCCAGAGACAGAAATGGTAGGAAGAAGTGGGAAGTGGCTATGAGGAGGGAAGGATTCACTGCAGTGATTCATCCGTGCTTTGCAGTGAGCATTTTAAGCAGGAAGATTTGGACAGGTCAGATTATCCGACTCAGAGATGGTGTTGTTCCATCCATCTTCAGCTTCAGAGTAGGTTTATCACCATAAGGCTGTCAGCACTAATATATTCTATTATATAATATATATGTTATAATAACATATTACAAATATATATATCATTTCTTTTCAAGTACTATGTTTCTCCATTTTAGCCAGAAAAGGGTGTGGGTGGGTGTATGTGTGTGTGTGTGTGTGTGTATGTATGTATGTATGTATGTGTGTGTGTGTGTGTATGTATGTATGTGTGTGGGTGTATGTATGTATGTGTGTATGTATGTATGTGGGTGTATGTATGTATGTATGTGGGTGTATATATATATATATATATATATATATATATATATACATGTGTGTGTATGTTTCAGTATTTCACTTGTTGAATAAATGTCCCTAACATTTTGTGAGTAGTGTATAGATACAACATTGTGTATTATGCAAAATTCCTGTCATACATCACATATATCATATATCAAAATATTCTATTACTGTTAAACCCACTATGAATATTAACATACGCCAAACCATGTGTCCTGTGTCATAGCTACATGTGTGTGGTTTACAGTAAAAAAAAAAGTGTGAAAATCAGTGAAGTATTCAGCGAGTTATGATTGATTAAATGCGCTGACTCGTCACTGCGCCTGCTAAACAGATTACTCTGAGAGGAGCGACCGGTCCAAGATGGCGGCGCTACGGCTCGTCGGCGCCAATGGACAGTAGCGGTAGATGCGGCGTCTATTCTATATATGTCTATGGCTTGTCCTCATAGCTGTTGTGTTGTCGTCCCCCTCGGTCCTGCCGTGAAATGCGTTACCACGTCACTGTTGGAGGAGGCTCCTGATTGGTAGACGCTCGCGTCTTCTCCCGAAAAGTTCAACATTGTTCAACTCGAGCGTCAGCCGCGCGTCACACGCGTTAAGACGCTCAAAATCTCAAAACGCGCCGCGCCAAACACTCGAAGACGCGCTGCTTGGGAGGCGCGTGACGCGCCGCGTGATCTCTTGACGCTCCTAGACGCGCGTCCCCCATGTTATGTCAATGTAAACCCGACGCTTTGGACGCTCAAGAGGCGTTTGGTCTGAACAAACCTTAAAAGTTTACAAAAAACTGAATCCTCACTGACCGCCAGAGGGCGCTGTACAGTCGTGAATGACTCTGAGCATGCGCAGTTATAGTTTCACCAGATCTGTCACTTATGGCTAAATGCGGCTTCAAAAACCACTTCCTTGTGTGGTTTTAAAGCATCAGAAAAATAAGAAAAGCAGAGTTTGTGTGTGGATCTATGAGAGGGGGACCAGAGAGTGACCTGAGAGACTTCCTAACATCCGTTGCCGGGTGGCAGCGGCAGCAGTCTGATCAGAGACACGCTTCTCCAGCTCATTCGGGGGAATCTTGAGGCATTCCCAGGAGACACATAGTCTCTGGTTTCAGTCCTGGACCTGTGTTTGTGTTTTATGTCTATATTTGAAAGAAAATGACTGCTGGAGGGTGAGGCTCCTGGATCCAACACTAAACACATCTCATTTTTATAGAAATCTTTATTGCAGAGGAGGTATCTTTTATATACATGCTATCACAATATAACACAATATAAATCTACCAAATATTTCCCATATATTGATGCTATATGCTTTTTATTAATATGCTGGGTTAGGGACAGATCACTCACTATACAACTGTAACAGTCCATAGATATTCATAAGTATAGATACTTTACTATCGTTCTATAAAGGGCAGTGAACATTGGTCCTAATGTCTTTTCATGCAGAAGCCACAGGATCCACCACGTTACAACCAGAATAAGTGGTAGGAGTAGTAGGAGTAGGAGTAGTAGGAGTAGTAGGAGTAGTAGGAGTAGGAGTAGTAGGAGTAGTAGGAGTAGGAGTAGTAGGAGTAGTAGGAGTAGTAGGAGTAGTAGGAGTAGTAGTAGTAGTAGGAGTAGTAGGAGTAGGAGTAGTAGTAGTAGTAGTAGTAGGAGTAGTAGGAGTAGGAGTAGTAGGAGTAGGAGTAGGAGTAGTAGGAGTAGTAGTAGGAGTAGTAGGAGTAGTAGGAGTAGGAGTAGTAGCAGTAGTAGGAGTAGTAGGAGTAGTAGGAGTAGTAGGAGTAGTAGGAGTAGGAGTAGTAGGAGTAGTAGCAGCAGCAGTAGCAGTAGTTAGTAGTAGAGCGAGGAACCACTTTGGATTTCTTTAGAAATCTGTGACATTAAAGAAAGATTTCGCAGCTTTAAGACCTAGAACTCTCAGATGACGTCTCTCTGACTTCTCTCTGAGGTACCATGTAGCATTAGCCTGAGGTACCATGTAGCATTAGCCTGAGGTACCATGTAGCATTAGCCTGAGGTACCATGTAGCATTAGCCTGAGGTACCATGTAACATTAGCCTGAGGTACCATGTAGCATTAGCCTGAGGTACCATGTAGCATTAGCCTGAGGTACCATGTAGCATTGGGCTGAGGTACCATGTAACATTAGCCTGAGGTACCATGTAGCATTAGCTTGAGGTACCATGTAGCATTAGCCTGAGGTACCATGTAGCATTGGGCTGAGGTGCCATGTAGCATTAGCCTGAGGTACCATGTAGCATTAGCCTGAGGTACCATGTAGCATTGGGCTGAGGTGCCATGTAGCATTAGCCTGAGGTACCATGTAGCATTAGCTTGAGGTACCATGTAGCATTGGGCTGAGGTGCCATGTAGCATTAGCCTGAGGTACCATGTAGCATTAGCCTGAGGTACCATGTAGCATTAGCCTGAGGTACCATGTAACATTAGCCTGAGGTACCATGTAGCATTAGCCTGAGGTACCATGTAGCATTAGCTTGAGGTACCATGTAGCATTGGGCTGAGGTGCCATGTAGCATTAGCCTGAGGTACCATGTAGCATTAGCCTGAGGTACCATGTAGCATTAGCCTGAGGTACCATGTAACATTAGCCTGAGGTACCATGTAGCATTAGCCTGAGGTACCATGTAGCATTAGCTTGAGGTACCATGTAGCATTGGGCTGAGGTGCCATGTAGCATTAGCCTGAGGTACCATGTAGCAATGGGCTGAGGTACCATGTAACATTAGCCTGAGGTACCATGTAACATTAGCCTGAGGTACCATGTAGCATTAGCCTGAGGTACCATGTAGCATTGGGCTGAGGTGCCATGTAGCATTAGCCTGAGGTACCATGTAGCATTAGCCTGAGGTACCATGTAGCATTAGCCTGAGGTACCATGTAGCAATGGGCTGAGGTACCATGTAGCATTAGCCTGAGGTACCATGTAGCATTAGCCTGAGGTACCATGTAGCATTAGCCTGAGGTACCATGTAGCATTAGCCTGAGGTACCATGTAGCATTAGCCTGAGGTACCATGTAGCATTAGCCTGAGGTACCATGTAGCAATGGGCTGTGGTGCCATGTAGCATTAGCCTGAGGTACCATGTAGCATTAGCCTGAGGTACCATGTAGCATTAGCCTGATGGGGACACTGGATTTGCTTTGACAGCCCCTTTTGATTGAACTGTTATAATTACAGCCAGAGGCTGGATTTGGAACAGTGTTAGCATGCATTAGCTAACTGTCTGAATGCTTGTTAGCTAATTCAACCTTAGATTCATACAAACATTGGGAATGTGAAAAAGTACTAGAATATTACAAGCAGGATGAAAATAAGCAATAAGCAATTTATACACTTATATAATTCTTATGGTTCCATATACTCTGGTTGTGCATGTGAAGTTTATAGTTATTTTACACAGACAAAAATTAATTGGAAACGATTCACTCAGAGTCAGACACGAGACAAAGTAGTGAGGCACGTACAGTCACTTTGGTCAAAAACTGTTTAACTGCCAGAAACTAATAAAAATGAAATAAATACAACAATATGTTGTATATGTATATGTTGAAGGATATGCTCGTTAGCATCATGGACAAAACAACTGAACGTGGGAGAATCTAGCGCTGGCTAAAGTGCAAATGATTTCCTGTTTAGAGATAGCGAGCAGGCTAACGCGTCGATGTCCTTCTTGCTAAATCTTTGGCTTTCACTGAATGTACTACAACCTTAACGTTTTCATGTTCATACATTACTTTTCATGCTTCTACCTAAACAATGTACGTCGCACACCAGAAAATGGGAAATATTACGTAAAATGCATGAAGGCGAGTCGTTAGTTGCATAATTAGTCTTTTCACATAAGAATCTGGAATGCTTGTTTTGTACATGTCACTCATCAACCACGAAGGGAAAGACCTCAAAACGGAAGGCAACTTGTGGATTACTCTTTCTTCAAGTCGCCCTACAATAAACACACTCATTGATCCTCTGCTATTTAGTGTCATGCTTTCTTTGCTACGCTGTCGTCAAAGTCCCAAGGGCAAACGTCGGCCTGGATCTTCCCACTGGGAGAGGTCTGTCGGACCCCACCATAGCTCCTGTCTCTGCCACTGGCTTGGGTCGCCTCCTCAAATTCCCAAGGACAGACTTCTGCCTTAGCTTTTACTGCTCCCAGATTGGTGCTTCTCCTTTTCTCCACAAGGGGCGCCTCTTCGCTTTCCACTTCCCAGGGACACACCTCCGCCATCTTCTGGCTGCTGAGAGACTTGTCTGTGGACCTGAGCTTGTCCTGAGATTTTAATTTACTTTTGTCGTCCTCTTTTGACGCCTCAATCGTCCGCGGCATAAGGCAGCCCATCTTTCTGGAAGGTGACTCCTTACTGGTCGATGGGCTGGGTGTTTTTTGGGAGTGCGGGGGAAGGGCAGTGGAGTCGTAATCCCAGGGACAAACATCTGCTTTGGCCATGGGGAGCTGAAGGGAGCCTGCTGGTTTAGAAGGCTCACAAAGAGCACTCTTCCCTCTGGGTTCAACTGGAGATGTTCCTTTCTTAGCTGAGTCTGTAGAACTGACTGGCTCTGTCTTTCGAGCCTCGTCAAAATCCCAGGGACAGATGTCTGCTCGTTGGGTAGTGCTACTTTCTTTTTCAATCATTGTTGTGTCTTTGGATCTTAGTTGCTCTGAGGTCTTTCTGTCACTGTCAAAATCCCACGGACAAACCTCTGCTCGCTCTGTAACTGTGCTTTTTTTGACTTTCTTCAACTTCTCAGCTGAACCAACCTGCTCTGATGTCTTTTGGTCATTGTCAAAATCCCACGGACAAACGTCTGCTTGTTTGCTCTCTGGCGGTAAAGGCGACCGAGCCGTTGGACCTGGAGTATGTCCTGGAGTCTTTGTCGAAAGACCACTCTCTCCGCTCATATTCTCCCATGGACAGACGTCAGCTCGCATGGCTGAAGTCTTTGGAGTCTCTTTAGCCCCTCCCACATTAACATCCGAGCCCTTCTTTCTCTGCGGTTGTGTTTTTCCTCGACTCACCGCTCCTCCATGAATTGTGGTGGTTTCATTTGGTGCAATGGAAACATGCTTTTGGACCTTATTTTCTGACGGTGTGTGAACCTCTTCCACTTCCCAAGGACACACTTCTGACAGGTCGTAGAACTCCTTGGATTTGACTGGATCGGGACACATCACAGGCTGGCTGCTGCTCACTTGTGGTTTGGCCATGCAGCTCTTGGTAACCGTGGGTTTAGCATCTGGAGTCTGGATCACCAGTTTAGTTTCAGAATCTGGTGCTACACTACTTTTTGATTCTTTGCTTCTGGGCAGTGTCTTTCTACCGCTGTCCTCTGTACTTTGCATCTTCCCCGTCAGTCCAAGTGTCCGTTCTTTGGCACTGGCGATGACGCTGAGAGACTTCTGGAGCATGGAAGCCCTGGGGTGGATAGGCTTCTTGTCGGCAGTCAGATTGTGGGCACTCGCCGACTTGCACACCAGCGGAACAGACTCTGCCGATTCACTTGGAACATTGATGTTTTCATCAGACTTTCTCTGGACTAACGTCTTTCCCATGAGCGTCTCCAACAGCGACCCTTCAGCTGTGGCCACCTCCATCTTGTCAGCGGTGGAATTGTTGGAATCCTCGCACTGGTCGCGGACGTGGTCGTAGCTACTGTGCGATTTCTTCAAGGAAAACACAGTATTCTTTACGATTGTCTCCTCTTTCACTGGTTTGACGGCGTGCGACGGGTCAAAGGGATTCTTCTTCAACATACAGATGCTGTTCCGGTTGCTTCCGTGTTCTCCAAAGTCCTTGTCCTCGCGGCTGCACTGGCGATGCACTGACTCCGGGATCTCGGTGATCCTTCTCATTAGGGAGCGACCCAACCCCTTCTTAGAGCTCCTCTTCTTCTGGAGGTGGGGGTTGTTGGCCAGCATCTTTTTGCGCTTGTAGATTTCAAGCTGAGAGTAGAGTTTCTTCAGCTCCTCCTGCATAAAGCACCAAGATAAATATTATTTACACATTCAAATAAAGACGTTTTTTGTCAAAGTTACAGATGTCGAGCTTCGAGACTGATGTTCATCATACACAGTAACTGTGTCGGATATTTGAATCAGGACCAATCAGAAACACTTGTGTGCGCCTCCTTCCTTCTGTAACTGATTCCCAACACTGACTCAGGGTCACAGGTCAGAGGTCACGTACCCGGATGTCCTTTGGGTCAGAGGTCACGTACCCGGATGTCCTCGGAGTCAGAGGTCACGTACCCGGATGTCCTCGGAGTCAGAGGTCAGACGTCAGAGGTCACGTACCCGGATGTCCTCAGGGTCAGAGGTCACATACCCGGATGTCATTGGGGTCACAGGTCAGAGGTCACGTACCCGGATGTCCCCGGGGTCAGAGGTCACATACCCGGATATCCTCAGGGTCAGAGGTCACGTACCCGGATGTGCTCAGGGTCAGAGGTCACGTACCCGAATGTCCTCTGGGTCACATGTCAGAGGTCACGTACCCGGATGTCCCCGGGGTCAGAGGTCACGTACCTGGATGTCCTCGAGGTTAGTGGTCACATACCCGGATATCCTCAGGGTCAGAGGTCACGTACCCGGATGTCCTTGGGGTCAGAGGTCAGACGTCAGAGGTCACGTACCCGGATGTCCTCTGGGTTAGAGGTCAGACGTCAGAGGTCATGTACCCGGATGTCCTTGGGGTCAGAGGTCAGCCGTCAGAGGTCATGTACCCGGATGTCCTCGGGGTTAGAAGTCAGACGTCAGAGGTCATGTACCCGGATGTCCTCGGGGTCAGAGGTCACGTACCCGGATGTCCCCGGGGTCAGAGGTCACGTACCTGGATTTCCTTGGGGTCAGAGGTCACATACCCGGATATCCTCAGGGTCAGAAGTCACGTACCCGGATGTCCTCAGGGTCAGAGGTCACATACCCGAATGTCCTCTGGGTCACATGTCAGAGGTCACGTACCCGGATGTCCCCGGGGTCAGAGGTCACGTACCTGGATGTCCTCGAGGTTAGTGGTCACATACCCGGATATCCTCAGGGTCAGAGGTCACGTACCCGGATGTCCTTGGGGTCAGAGGTCAGACGTCAGAGGTCACGTACCCGGATGTCCTCTGGGTTAGAGGTCAGACGTCAGAGGTCATGTACCCGGATGTCCTTGGGGTCAGAGGTCAGACGTCAGAGGTCATGTACCCGGATGGCCTCGGGGTTAGAAGTCAGACGTCAGAGGTCATGTACCCGGATGTCCTCGGGGTCAGAGGTCACGTACCCGGATGTCCCCGGGGTCAGAGGTCACGTACCTTGATTTCCTTGGGGTCAGAGGTCACATACCCGGATATCCTAAGGGTCAGAGGTCACGTACCCGGATGTCCTCAGGGTCAGAGGTCACATACCCGAATGTCCTCTGGGTCACATGTCAGAGGTCACGTACCCGGATGTCCCCGGGGTCAGAGGTCACGTACCTGGATGTCCTCAAGGTTATCCTCAGGGTCAGAGGGATGTCCTTGGGGTTAGAGGTCAGACGTCAGAGGTCACGTACCCGGATGTCCTCTGGGTTAGAGGTCAGACGTCAGAGGTCATGTACCCGGATGTCCTTGGGGTCAGAGGTCAGAGGTCATGTACCCGGATGTCCTCGGGGTTAGAAGTCAGACGTCAGAGGTCATGTACCCGGATGTCCTCGGGGTCAGAGGTCATGTACCCGGATATCCTCGGGGTCAGAAGTCACGTACCCAATGTCCTTGGGGTTACAGGTCAGAGGTCACATACCCGGATGTCCTTGGGGTCAGAAGTCACGTACCCGGATGTCCTTGGGGTCACAAGTCAGAGGTCACGTACCCGGATGTCCTCGGGGTCCAGGCTGTGCTCGCTCCACGCTGAGGTGATGCTGCTGTTGAGGTAGGAGCCTGATCGTCCCATGTCCAACTCGTCCTCGTAGGCTTCAGAGGCGATGTCCTCCCTCATGTGAGTCCCAGTGAACAGGAACTGGGGGTCAGAGGTCAGGGGTCAGGACATGGTTTTACTGTCTATACAGACCAGGGTCAAGGGTCACACACACAAGACACACAAAGACCCATTTATAAAGTTTGGAAGTGTCATATTCTTATATTATTATACACAGCTACCGGTCCTGGTCCTGGTCCCAGTCTCAGCCCTGGTTCTGGTCCTGGTCCCGGTCTCAGCCCTGGTCATAGTCATGGTCCTGGTCTCAGCCCTGGTCCTGGTCCTGGTCCCGGTCTCAGCCCTGGTATTGGTCATGGTCATGGTCATGGTCCTGGTCCTGGCCCTGGTCTCAGCCCTGGTCCTGGCCCCAGTCTCAGCCCTGGTCTCAGCCCTGGTCCTCGCCCCAGTCTCAGCCCTGGTCATGGTCATGGTCATGGTCCTGGTCCTGGCCCTGGTCTCAGCCCTGGTCATGGTCCTGGTGCTGGTTCTGGTGCTGGTCCTGTACCTTGGGGATGAGCAGCAGACCCAGAGTCACCGTCACAGTCAGATGTGTGTGTGTGAAGAACAGCAGAAGCATCCAGTCTGGGTGAAGCTCCGGAGCCAGACTGAACCTGAGGACACACACGATTACACACTGCTACACAACGCTACACACTGTTACACACTGCTACACACTCACAGAGAACCTATACACACAATAATACAAGTTTATTTGTATAGCACAGTGTACAGCACAAAGAATTGGACTAAACTCAATTTCACTGGTTCAATTATCAAAACAAACGATGAAGTCTTGACACACACACAGACACACACTCACAGACACACAGACACAGGTAGATACACACACAGACACAAACACACATGCAGACACAGACTGTGACGGCCCCCTCTGCTGGGCCTGTGGTGGCAGTGTTCGTATGACATTCTGAGATGATGGGAGGCAGCTGGGAAGTCATGTGACCTCCCAGATGCTTCAAAAAGCGGCTCCCTCCCCCTCTCTCTCTCTCTCTCTCTCTCTCTCTCTCTCTCTCTCTCTCTCTCTCTCTCTCTCTCTCTCCTCTCTCTCTCTCTCTCTCTCTCTCTCTCTCTCTCTCTCTCTCTCTCTCTCTCTCTCTCTCTCTCTCTCTCTTCTGGCTTCTTTCTCTTCTGGCTTCTGGGCACCTGCCGGCGTGCCCGGACTGCCGCTACCATTCTGGGCCCTGTTGGACCAGCCGTCACGCCACGCCAGTTTGTCTTTTCATTTACACGCACTACAACACAACATTTGCACTACAACGGTTGTCCTACTGACTTTCATATGCAACACCTTGCACCCCACAGCATACAACTCACTTACACTGATTTCATACAGATTACTTTATTATTGTTTAAATAAATTAAATTTCTCAGTTTGTCGTGTCCTCCCTCTCATGTTATGGTCTCACAAGCCGGGCCGTAACACAGACACACACTCACAGACACACAGAAACACACAGACACAGGTAGATACACACACAGACACAAACACACATGCAGACACAGACAGACACACACATGCAGACACACACTCACAGACACACAGAAACACACACACACACAGACACCCACACACATGCAGACAGACACACACACATGCAGACCCAGACAGAAACACACACACATGCAGACACAGACAGACACACATGACGCACACTCACAGACACACAGAAACACGCACACACACACAAACAAGCAGATACACACACAGACACAAACACACACACCCACAGACACACAAACACACATGCAGACACAGACACACACACACATGCAGACACAGACAGACACACACAGACACAAACACACACACCCACAGACACACATGCAGACACAGACACACACACACATGCAGACACAGACAGACACACACAGACACACAGAAACACACACACAGACACCCACAAACATGCAGACACAGATAGACACACACATGCAGACACAGACAGACACACAGAAACACACACACATGCAGACACACACAGACGCACACTCACAGACACACAGAAACACACACACACAGACACACACAAGCAGATACACACCCAGACACAAACACACACACCCACAGACACACACGCAGACACAGATAGACACATACAGACACACACTCACAGACACACAGAACACACACAGACACACGCATACACACACAGAGTCAGGGGTAGGGTTATGGTCCATGTGTGTGTGTGTGTTGTACCCAGTGTTGGGCACGTTACTTTGAAAAAGTAATCAGTTATAGTTACTAGTTACTTCTCCCAAAAAGTAACTGAGTTACTAACGGAGTTACTCCACTATAAAAGTAACTAGTTACCAGTAAAAGTAACTATTGCGTTACTTTTTTGTTTCGTTCTGGAACATAATGTGCACTCGAGGTGCACATGTTGACCTTTAACCTTTAACCTCAGTGAGTTTAAATAGTGCCAATGTTTCCATCTAGAAAAGTCTGTTTTTCTGCTGAAGTCCTGTTCACTCTTCATCTGTCTCTGTGTAAGCACTAAACACCGACACCTCCACTGTGAATGTGGAAACACCAAGCACTGACTTCAGCCCAATCAGATCAACATATATATCATATTTATATATATATATATATATATATATATCATATAAATCAAGTGGACACTTTGTTTGGCTACAGCAGAATATGTTTCATGCATTGTTTGTTCAAACAAAACACAAAACTATGAGTTATGGGTCTTACCTTATAAATGACCTGCACAGTCCACTTCGGTTCAGACCAGTTCCGTGTTTAAGTCCAGATAATAGTTTGAGCGTAGATATGTAATCCTCCGTTTGGAAATGAGTCCAATGAGTTTTAAAAAGTAAAACTAAACGCGTGTGTCCTCCGTAAACTCCTGTGTTTTGCTGCAGCCGGCTGCATCCGATAAAACCAACGTCTTACACTTCACCTCTTTCTTATCATTCCTATAGTCATTGAAAAATGACCCTAAGTGCATTTTAAATGATCTTAAAATGTGTTATATGTATGTTAGCCAAACCTGTTGTTGTCCTTAGCAGATAAACCAGGAAGAGAAAGGAGCTTATCCATGGAATTGTATGCAGCCTTCTGCGCTCACATGCGCCCCCCTGAGGCCTCACGCTGATACAAGCCGTGGTTGAGCGCGATTAAGACCAATATTTTTTTTTTAGAAAACACAATTTATGACCATCCTCTCAACTGTAAACATGTAGACTGTAAAGGAAATATGTTTTACATCAGCCAATAACTGCTGAGAGGTTTTCTCATCCTTCTCTCATGACAACAGAGTCCTATCATGAAGTAAAAAGAGAAGTTCGTTGTGTGTCTTGAGTAACGCGCAGTAACGGGATGTCGGAAATGATAACGGCGTTATAGTTACAGTCAAAGTAACTAGTTAGATTACTCGTTACTGAAAAAAGTAACGTTATTCCCATCACTGGTCGTACCTGATGATGTGGAAGATGGCCGACAGCAGCAGCTCGTTGTGCACCGCGATGGCCATGTACCGAGGCTCATGGAACGCAGACGGGACTGTCCTCACAGCGTAGCACAGGTACACAGCCCACACCAGGAAGAGAGACTCCGCTGAGGACCAGAAAAAGACCAGAGAAAGACCAGAGAGGGATCAAAGAGAGACCAGAAAGACCAGAGAGGGATCAAAGAGAGACCAGAAAGACCAGAGAGGGATCAAAGAGAGACCAGAAAGACCAGAGAGAGAGAGGAAGCAAAGTGTGTCTGCGTGTGTGTTTATGTGTGTGTGGGGTGAGTTTGTCTGTGTGTGTGTGTGTGTGTGTGTGTGTGTGTGTGTGTGTGTGTGTGTGGGGTAAGTTTGTCTGTGTGTGTGTGTGTGTGTGTGTGGGGTAAGTTTGTCTGTGTGTGTGTGTGGGGTGAGTTTGTTTGTGTGTGTGTCTGTGTGTGTGTGCGTGGGGTAAGTTTGTCTTTGTGTGTATGTGTGTGTGTGTGGGGTGAGTTTGTTTGTGTGTGTGTCTGTGTGTGTGTGTGTGTGGGGTGAGTTTGTTTGTGTGTGTTTGTAAGAAAGATAAGACAGACTTTATTGATCTCACACAGGAGACATTTACAAGTCACATTTGGGACGGACAGAATCACTCAAGATTTGTTCAAAAGACAGAAGTGTGCAAACATGCTAAAGGAAAAAAATAGTGTGTGTAGGTGTGTGTAGGCGTATGTAGGTGTGTGTAGGTGTGTATAGGTGTGTGCGTAGGTGTGTATAGGTGTGTGTGTGTAGGTGTGTATAGGTGTGTGTGTAGGTGTGTATAGGTGTGTGTGTAGGTGTGTATAGGTGTGTGTGTAGGTGTGTGTATAGGTGTGTGTGTAGGCGTGTGTGTAGGCGTGTGTAGGGCACTAGTGCTCGGATCGGCCCGAAAATCCCTGAGTGAATTATCTGGACCGAGAACGATCCAACACATTACATTACGCAAAAGCTTTGTAAGTCCTACACCTGACACTGGGGGCGCCAGAAAGTGAATGAATGAGCTTTTTGGGGCAAAATGCTGTAGGGCTGGATATCTTTGGAGATGAAGTAGACTTACTAACTGCTATAGCAGTAAATTTCTCCTGTGTGAGATTAATAAATAATCTTATGATAGCATCAGTTAAGGCCTGGGAGCGGGCAGAGTTAGCTGCTTGAGGCGTGTTTTGACCAAAGAAGTTTGTGATAGACCTACTGCTCACGTCGCCAACTTTTCTGCTGCTCAGTGTGGCTGGTGCTTCGGTATAATCCAAAAGAGAGAAGGGGGTCGCAGCCACAGAGGTATCCACGCCGTGCAGTCTTCTCAGAGGCGTTGCCAGGTTCGTTGTGCTACCCACGTATTTGATAGGCGGCGCCCGACATTTCTGCACGCTTGACTTGTTTTTTTTGGGGCCATTAAAAATCTCCTTGCCGTTTATGTTGTGAGCGTTCATGCTTGTTTTGGACCCGAAGCTTACGTCAGAGCCCGAGGAAGCGATGGTGCATTCAGGTTGCCTCGGAAATATGACTGGGCAGCGAAAAGAACAATCGATTTAACCATGGAATCTACCGATGCAGACAGGCTGGAAGAGATGCACCGCAAATTCACACCTAAATCATATCCGATGCGCCATGAATGTATCCGTGTAGTTGCATCGCAGACGTTTGTATCGGACCACCGGTGCGAATTAGTGAATCTTCACATCACTAGTGTGTAGGTGTGTGTAGGTGTGTGTAGGTGTGTATAGGTGTGTGTAGGTGTGTGTAGGTGTGTATAGGTGTGTGTAGGTGTGTGTAGGTGTGTATAGGTGTGTATAGGTGTGTGTAGGTGTGTATAGGTGTGTGTAGGTGTGTGTAGGTGTGTATAGGTGTGTGTAGGTGTGTGTAGGTGTGTATAGGTGTGTGTAGGTGTGTATAGGTGTGTGTAGGTGTGTGTAGGTGTGTATAGGTGTGTGTAGGTGTGTGTGTAGGTGTGTGTAGGTGTGTATAGGTGTGTGTAGGTGTGTGTGTAGGTGTGTGTAGGTGTGTATAGGTGTGTGTAGGTGTGTGTAGGTGTGTGTAGGTGTGTGTATATGTGTGTGTAGGTGTGTGTGTAGATGTGTGTAGGTGTGTGTAGGTGTGTGTGTAGATGTGTGTAGGTGTGTGTAGGTGTGTGTGTAGGTGTGTGTAGGTGTGTGTAGGTGTGTGTAGGTGTGTATAGGTGTGTGTGTAGGTGTAGGTGTGTATAGGTGTGTGTAGGTGTGTGTAGGTGTGTGTAGGTGTGTGTGTAGGTGTGTGTAGGTGTGTAGGTGTGTGTAGGTGTGTGTATAGTGTGTGTAGTGTGTGTGTGTAGAGTGTGTGTAGGTGTGTGTAGGTGTGTGTGTAGTGTGTGTAGGTGTGTGTGTAGTGTGTGTAGGTGTGTTAGGTGTGTGTAGGTGTGTGTATAGGTGTGTGTAGGTGTGTGTATAGGTGTGTGTAGGTGTGTATAGGTGTGTATAGGTGTGTGTAGGTGTGTGTATAGGTGTGTGTAGGTGTGTATAGGTGTGTATAGGTGTGTGTAGGTGTGTGTATAGGTGTGTATAGGTGTGTGTAGGTGTGTGTATAGGTGTGTATAGGTGTGTATAGGTGTGTGTAGGTGTGTGTGTGTCACAGCCTCACCCACTGCCATCATGTAGTCCCATCGGTCCAGCAAACACATGCTGAACTGGAGGCCCTCAGGGGTGTAGCCCACGTCGATGAGGGCCCCTCTCCGCTCCGGGGTCTCACACACGGCTGAGGTCCACGACACCAGGAACCACAGAACCACCAGAAGGATCAGCACCAGCAGCCGCAGCACCCTCCAGCTGGTCAAGTAGGGGATCCTCTGGGCGGTACGGGACAGGAACACCTTCAGCACCCTGCCAGAGGTCGCAGGTCAAATGTCACAGGTCAGAGGCCAGAGGTCACATGTCAGAGGTCACAGGTCAGAGGTCAAAGGCCAGATGTCACAGATCAGAGATCACAGGCCAGATGTCACAGGTCAGAGGTTACAGGTCAGAGGTCACAGGACAGAGGTCACAGGTCAGATGCGTCAGTCCTGGGTTTACAGCCTCAGTCCCGGGTCTGTCTTGGGTCTAAAGCCCCAGTCCTGGGTCTACAGCCTCAGTCAGGGTCTCACCTGTACAGCTTGAGGGTCAGGGTTCCGTAGACGGTGGCGAACCCGAGTAGACGAACCCATCTGAGCAGGATGCAGCGGAACACACTGGGCTGGAAGTACAGGATCCCGACCTGGAACAGAACATAGAGTTCAGACACAGACATGTCTATGTTGGCCAAAAACTCTCAAATGTGTAGTTGATGGAAGGCAGCCCAGGAATTTACAGGAAGCAGGTGTTAATTGCCAAGAAGAATTGGCAGCTTTACCATTCTTCTGTGACTCCTCCACAGACCCCTAAGAGTCCCAGCAGGAGTCCAGTCCCTGTGCTCCTCAGAGTCCCAGCAGGAGGCTAGTCCCTGTGCTCCTCAGAGTCCCAGCAGGAGTCCAGTCCCTGTGCTCCTCAGAGTCCCAGCAGGAGGCCAGTCCCTGTGCTCCTCAGAGTCCCAGCAGGAGTCCAGTCCCTGTGCTCCTCAGAGTCCCAGCAGGAGGCCAGTCCCTGTGCTCCTCAGAGTCCCAGCAGGAGGCCAGTCCCTGTGCTCCTCAGAGTCCCAGCAGGAGGCCAGTCCCTGTGCTCCTCAGAGTCCCAGCAGGAGGCCAGTCCCTGTGCGTATATCGTGTATTACATCGTGTCAGAGTCAGTGTGAGAATGTTGGACTCAGCTGTGACTTTAACTCTGCTTCTGGGAAACATCTGGCCTTGAACTGAGGTACTCTCTCTCTTTAAGACCTCCATAAGAATCAGGCATGTGCTCAGCCCCCACCTTTCTGAACCTCCATCATAAATCGATGCTAAGTGCTGGGAATCAGTGGGGATCAGGTTATCGTGTGTGTGTCTGTGTGTGTGTGTGTGTGTGTGTAATACCAGGGGTAATACAGGACTCAGTCTTTATTTTTAATTGCCACATCAAATCAGCAGTCCATTACATTAGGACATTAGTCCTGGTCTCTGTCCTGAAGTCCTCTCACATTAGTCCTGGTCTCTGTCCTGAAGTCCTCTCACATTAGTCCTGGTCTCAGGTCTCTGTCCTGAAGTCCTCTCACATTAGTCCTGGTCTCAGGTCTCTGTCCTGAAGTCCTCTCACATTAGTCCTGGTCTCAGGTCTCTGTCCTGAAGTCCTCCCACATTAGTCCTGGTCTCAGGTCTCTGTCCTGAAGTCCTCCCACATTAGTCCTGGTCTCAGGTCTCTGTCCTGAAGTCCTCTCACATTAGTCCTGGTCTCAGGTCCCTGACACAACAAGTAAGTCCATGTCTGTTGTGACGTCTTACAAGAACCAAGAGCTTAGAGTGCTTGATTTCCTGATCTGTGTTGGAGGTCTCAGCCGTTTTGTTAAGTCCTCTGAGAAACTACTGTTGTGATTTAGGGCAATACAAGAATACATTGAAAATAAACCTCTAACTCTAACATAATGAAGAAGAAAGTATGAAATCTCTAACTTCAACCCAAAATAATGCTTTTATTTTTGGATTGAGTATAAGGAGCTGACACCTCCTCAGCGGCACCTGAACACAGCTCCTAAACGCTCCTACAGGACTCTCTCTCTGGTCTCTCACTGGTCTCTCTCTCTCGGGTCTCTTTCTGGTCTCTCTCCGGTCTCTCTGATCTTTCCCTCTGGTCTCGCTCTGGTCATTATTCGCAAACTCCAAACCCAGTGGTGATACACTACTTCTGTAGCCACAGCTGCCCTGGAGCCCCTCCCACCACCACCAACAATTCAAACAAACACCAGAATCATTCCAACGTGGGGGAAGTGTCTTGCTGAGAGCAGAGGTCTGACAGGTTCTCAACTGCAGGGGGTGAGACTGCTTCGGTAACTGTACTGTAGTAATAGTGCCATTCTGATGTCAGTTGTTTTTTTGTTTTTTTTTCATGCTGCTAAAATTTGGAACAGTCATCCTGAAAATATGTGACAACCTTTTGCTCTGACAATGTTCAAGTCCAACAGAAGAATTTTATCTTTTCAATAAACTGTGAATATTAATGATTTTAAATGTTTTGTGACTGTTTGTTTTGTTCAGCATTTTGAGTTTCCTTGTGCTTGAAGTGTGCTATATAAATATACTTGCTCACTACTACATTACTATGCTATAATACTATACTCTATCACTATACTATATCACTATACTCTACCACTATACTATATCACTATACTCTACCACTATACTCTATCACTATACTATACCACTATACTATACCACTATACTATACCACTATACTCTACCACTATACTCTACCACTATACTATACCACTATACTCTACCACTATACTCTATCACTATACTATACCATTATACTATACCACTATACTATACCACTATACTATACCACTATACTATACCACTATACTCTACCACTATACTATACCACTATACTCTACCACTATACTATACCACTATACTCTACCACTATACTATACCACTATACTATACCACTATACTATACCACTATACTATATCACTATACTATACCACTATACTATACCACTATACTCTACCACTATACTATACCACTATACTCTACCACTATACTCTACCACTATACTATATCACTATACTATACCACTATACTATACCACTATACTCTACCACTATACTATACCACTATACTATACCACTATACTATACCACTATACTCTACCACTATACTATACCACTATACTATACCACTATACTCTACCACTATACTATACCACTATACTATACCACTATACTATACCACTATACTCTATCACTATACTATACCACTATACTATACCACTATACTCTACCACTATACTATACCACTATACTATACCACTATACTATACCACTATACTCTATCATTATGCTATACCACTATACTATACCACTATACTCTACCACTATACTCTATCACTATACTATACCACTATACTATACCACTATACTCTATCACTATACTATACCACTATACTATACCACTATACTCTATCACTATACTATACCACTATACTATACCACTATACTATACCACTATACTCTATCACTATACTATACCACTATACTATACCACTATACTATACCACTATACTATACAACTATACTCTATCACTATACTATACCACTATACTATACCACTATACTCAACCACTATACTATACCACTATACTATACCACTATACTCTATCACTATACTATACCACTATACTATACCACTATACTATACCACTATACTATACAACTATACTATACTACTATACTATATCACTATACTATATCACTATACTCTACCACTATACTATATCACTATACTCTATCACTATACTACACCACTATACTATATCACTATACTCTATCACTATACTATATCACTATACTCTATTACTATACTATACCACTATACTTTACCTGTTGATATTATTTCTGATGTTTATTCTGCTCATATTCTCATATTCTCCGCTGCTAATGTATAATATAGACATCTGTAAATACTCCGAACCAAGTGCAATTATAGCCCAGAGTTTATCTCATTTTATTTTATTTTATCTTAAATTATTGTCTATTATCTTAAATAATAGACTTTGATGTGTGCAATCTGAGTGCTCTTATTTCCTTTCTCTGCTGTAATGTGCAACGATGACTCTGAAATTTCTCCACTGTGAGACTAATAAAGGTTTATCTTATCTTATCTTATCTTATCTTATACTCTATCACTATACCACTATACTATATCACTATACTATAATAATAATAATAATCTTTATTTGTATAGCACTTTTAAAAACAGTGTTTACAAAGCGCTGCACAGTCAGCATGATAAACAATAAAAACAGTCATAATGCAAGGTCAAAATAATTAGATACAGAAACACAAAGCAAACAGAGCAAAACACAAAAGAGACACAACAAAGACAAAGCAGACATTAAAATACAGCATCGGCAGTTTAAAACTAACAGTTAAAAGCTGTTTGATAAAAGTGGGTTTTAAGAAGAGATTTAAAAGAGGATACTGATGGTGATAGCCTTATCTCCTCGGGCAGGTCGTTCCAAAGCCGAGGAGCCAGGACAGAGAAGGCTCCTTTCGTCCGGAGCCTCGACCTTGGAACAGTCAACAGGGACCTGCCCGAGGATCTAAGGTTGCGGGGGGCTCGTAGGGGGTTAAAAGTTCAGAAATATAGCTTGGTGCCAGACCTAAACGAGCTTTAAAAGTAATCAGTAAAATCTTAAAATCAATTCTAAAACGCAGGAGCCAGTGGAGAGACGCTAAGACAGGGGTGATGTGCTCCCTTCTGTTAAAACCAGTGAGAAGTCTCTGCTGCGTCTGGACCAGTTGGAGGCGGGAGAGGGATTTAGCGTCGAGATTGGAGAGGAGGGAGTTGCAGTAATCGAGGCGGGAGAAGATGAGGGCGTTGACAACTTTATGGATATCGGGAGGAGTGAGGATGTTTTTAATCTTTGAGATTGTGCGGAGGTGAAAGAAGCAGGTTTGGGTGGTTTTATTGATGTGGGAGCGGAAGGTGAGGTGAGGATCAAAAATGACACCAAGGTTACGGGCGGAGGGAGTGATGTTTGAGGACAGGGGCCGAGGTGGGTTTGGATGTGGGATATAGATGGAGGCGGGTTGATGAGGAGGACTTCAGATTTGGAGGTGTTGAGCTGTAGAAAGTTATGGGCCATCCAACGGTTCACATCGTTAAAACAGTCGACCACAGCAGCCAGACTTCCAGGGTCGTTTGGTCTCAGCGGGAGGTAGATCTGTGTGTCGTCCGCAGAGCAGTGGAAGGACACGTTATGACGGACCATAACGTGTCCTAGGGGGAGCATATAAATAGAGAATAAAATGGGACCTAAAATAGAACCTTGCGGCACACCACAGGTAATGGGGGCTGTAGAGGAGGTAAAATCACCCATGGTGACCGCAAAGGTTCTGTCTAAAAGATAAGAATGAAACCAACCAAGTGCAGTTTCTCTGATGCCAACCCACGTTTTGAGGCGATCCAATAAAATCCTGTGGTCGATCGTGTCGAAGGCTGCACTTAGGTCTAAAAGAATTAAAATAGAGCACCCTCCGCTGTCTGTGGTTAAAAGTCATTTAAAACTCTAAGGAGGGCAGTCTCTGTGTGTTGTGCTTTAAAACCTGATTGGAATTTCTCAAAGATGTGGTTCTCATTAATAAAATCTAAAATCTGAATTGAAACAATTTTCTCTAAAACTTTGGATAAAAAAGGAAGTTTTGAAATGGGTCTAAAATTGTTAAAATCAGTAGTGCTTAAATTAGGTTTCTTTAAAAGTGGCTGGACCACAGCATGTTTAAA